TCTTTTTCTTATTAAGTTTAATTCCTTTTACCACGTGGGCCCGCACAACAATGTAAAAGAAGATTCTGATGGTCACTCTCCATGTCCTCACAGAGCTTCTTGAACAGCCTTGTTTTTAAGGGGCGTGATTTTATAAAGTTCACACACTGAACAGCTACGTCTAGTGCTGATTTAAGATCTGTCGAAAGTTTCTTGGTTGCTAACGCATGGCGATATAAAACACAGTGGCTGTTACTACATTTTGGAGCTACCTCTTTAATTCTGGTTATTACACCTTTTATTTTCCCAACCATTGCAGCAGCGCCATCCGTGCATACGTCCACACATTTTTGCCATGATATTTTTTTTTTCATTAAGTACTTATTTAAAACATCAAAAATTTCCTCTCCTGTAATATGCGTTTTCAAACTTTTACAAATAAGCAACTCTTCTTGAATGGTTTTCTCATGAGTATATCTGGCAAAAACAAGTAGTATGGACAACCCAGAAACATCGGTGCTTTCGTCCATTTGTACAGAAAATTGGTTACAGTTAATTAATCTGAAGACAAATTCATCTTCAATGTGGTCAGAAATTTTATGAATTCGATCAGAAATCGTATTGTTTGAGTTGCACTGCTGCAACTTTTTTACCCGCATCTTCTCCGAGAATACAAGAGACCACTTCTATCATACTAGGTTTAATCAAACTTTCGGCAATGGTGTGAGGTTTTCCGGCACGTGCAATATTATAACCCAATATAAATGAATCCTCTGTGTTTTTCTCATTTTCGTCTTTTATATACTTAGTGAGAGAACTCGTACTTTCAGTTGAAATGTCTTTCTTTATTCTAAAAAATTCCAGATCTTTCCCTTTTAGATTTGGATGATTAGATTCCAAATGTCGCTTAAGCTTCGTAGGAGCCAAAGAACTGTTACTGAGAACTTTTTCACAAACTACGCACCTCACATCGGGAAACGTGTCTACTCCAATGGGAATAAATCCAAACGATAAATATTCTTCGTCATATCGTCTTTTTTTACCTTTTGAAAAAATAATTTAAGTGTATTCCTTACTTGGAGATGCTTCATTTTCGACAGTTTGTTTTTGGGGAGGAGCTGCTTCACAGTGGGAAGTCGAGTTTTCCGATGAAACAGACGAAGTACTGCTTTTACTTGTAGATGTTAGACCGGCCTTCTCTAATGATTATAATCGCCCCGTTTTGAGCCATTTGTCCATTGTATTATATATTATATTATACCAGAAAATTAAAGAGTTATTCGTGATAGTAATAATTGAACACTAAAATTCACTGTTAGAAAAAAAAAACGGTTTCTCACTTCGTCAAAGCAGAATGAAGACTGACAACTACAAATAAATATTTTGTAGTGGCGAGACCCACTGAACGAATACTCGCTAATGACCACAGATAAGATAAATGAATATCTATAGTAGGTCCTATTTATACGCAACGATAAATCGAAACAATTCGATCGTTACGATAAATTGCTAGCATTTATTGTTGCGTGTAAACCCGGCTTTATAAGTTTATAACAAATAATATATATTATATAAGATATTTTATCATAGGATAAGGAAACTAAAAATAATTTTTATATTTCCCCAAATTTCTCACGGAACCCTTGGCGCCGGCTCACGGAACCCTTAGGTTCCGCGGAACACTAGTTGGGAAACGCTGCTTTATATAACTACAGTACCGTATTTTATTTTAATCAGTCTTAAAATAAATATTAATCAGATTCAGAAATTATCACTGTATCCAAAAGGACATTTTGAACATGTCTGAATACTTTGATACCACTCATGGAATTCTACAGGAATGGCTTCAATCTTACAAAGTTTCATGGGATCTTTTTTTTTCAATGTTGAAATTGGTCTTGGCTTATTATATAATTGTTTAAGGTTATTAGAATATTTTGTTGGTTTACCTCTTCCACTTAAGCGTATACTTTTAGACTCTTCATCTGAATAGTTATATTTAAACTGTATAACACCAGGCTCAGTTTTCTCATATTATAAAACCTTAATTTTTAACCAATTCACTTTAATACCTTGTGTATCAGTTTTGATATGGTTTTTTATTATTAAACTAGCTAAACTTTTCAAGTCAAGAAAATCAGTATACTAAAAATCTTGAACTGTGTAGCTAGAACATTTTTTATTATTCCTATTTGAAAGAGCTAGTCGGCAAATATTAAGCCAGTCATGCATAGTATACACAGGAATATTTTTCTTTGCGGCCTCATTTATATTTTGCATACTGTCCACTTTCATGTATGAATGTCCACTCTCCATGAAATTATGTGTTATAACATCAATTTTTGAATGTGTGACAATGTATAAGAATAAAGCTACTATATATTGATTCCTATTTTGACCACTGGTTGTATATGGAAATATTAGTTATATTTACTGGGAGCTGTTTGATCCATTTTAGTAAAGCTGTACCAATTTCTGAACTTCTTTTTTGTCCGTTTACTTTATTCCATAAAAAACAAAAGGCATTATTTGGGGAAGCAGCCTCATACAAAGTTAAATTTTATGTACATAGTTATCTACTGTAGTATACTATAGTATGTACTATAGTACATACTAGAGACATCAGAACTAGGAATCTGTAAAACACTTTGTAAGTCAAATGTAGTACTTCAAAATTCAGTTTGAAGCTTTTTCTTTGTCAAACTTTTTAGCTGCAAATGATTCATCCCGTCTTCGAGTATGATTTTTATACTTCATTAATATTTGTTGTTCATGTGGTTTGTCTAATTTCTTAAATTTTTCACATAGAAGACATTGATCTTTTTTTGATTTATAAAAATTCAAATTATATTGCTCACAAAATATTTTTCGATACACGGTACAACAAACAAAACAAATATGATCTAATTTAAAAAATAATGACCAAGTAACATTGACTATGTTACTTTCTCAAATTATGCTAAAAGTCAAGTTAATCGAAATGATGTACTAAGTACTTCCTAAACTATTCATGATATCACTTGGACACTTTTTCTACACATTTATAGGGATGAAAAATTGAATTTAAACATGTTTTTGTACTTGGCCACTTTTGGCATGATGGCGACAATATATATATATTATCTTTTGCGGTGCAAAAGAGATTAAGTAGAATCGTGTCAACCGGACTAAGTGGATACGCGATACTTGTAATTCTAATTATAGTAATATTTTTCCTATTTATAATAATAAATGTAAATTTTTAAAGGGGTATTATCAAAATGTTAGGGGGTTAAGATCTAAATTAAATTTACCAAGAGTAAATATTCCTTGTTATTTGGTTTTTTGGAAACTTGGTTAAATGATGACTTTTTAAATTCGGAACTTGGCTTAAATAATTTCAATGTTTATAGATGCCATAGAAATAGTAATAATAGTGCGCACAGAAGAGGTGGTGGTGTTATGATTTGTGTTTATAATAAATTTCATTCGGAAGAAATACTTTTACCATTTAATAACATGGAATAGCTATTTATCTCTATTCAGCTTGTACATAGTAAGCGTCTTATTATAGGTTCAGTTTATTTGCCACCTGATAGTTTATGTGATAAGTATTTACAACACGTTGAAACCTTTAAATGGGTTTTTGCTAAATTTGGTGATTACGTTGCTTATCAGTGACTACAACTTGCCTAATGTACAAATATATAACACTCATCCGGGATATTAATTGATGGTCGATCATCTGGGCGGACTCATATTATAGTTGATAATTTTGCTGCGTTTAATCTTTTTCAATTTAATAATAATAATTTTTCAAGTTCTACTCTTGATTTAGTGTTTTCAAATGTTCATGAAACTAATGTCTATCTATGTCTTGATGCTATAATTCCTATTGACAACTATCACTCAGCCTTAAAAATTATTAATCGTTTTAGCTTAAGTGTACTGAATTTAAATATTTCTGAAACCTTAAATATTTTTATATTTGCTAATATTAACTTAATTTGTTTGTATTTAGCATCTATTGATTGGTCAAATTTATTTAAAATAAGAGCATTAATGATGCGGTTGATTTATTTTATTCGACTATTGAACTTAGTATAAAATGATCTATAATATCATAGTTCAATTATCGTAAAGGGTCTTTCCCGCCTTAGTTTAGTATTGAACTTAAAAAACTTATTAAGACTAAAAATAGTTTACACAAATTATTTAAACGAACTGTTAGGGCGCGGGCAGATAGTGCTGCGCTTTATGCGCAACGGTGGGACCTGTGGGCAGCCATGCTCACGCCCTCCTATCATGTGAGGTTAAAAAATTTGTTCTGTTGTTATCGTGGTTGATAAAATTAAAAATAATAGTCACTCTGTTTTTTTCAATTTTTGTTCTGTTGGTTCTATTCAATTATTTTTTGTGTTAGTTTATAATCTTTTTATAAGCCGTCCAGGCAAATTGTTTATAATTTTTTATAAGCCGACAAGGCAAATTGTGTAAGCCGTCAAGGCAAATAATTGTGTTCAACGTCGTCCAGACGAAATCTTTTGTAAGCCGTCCAGGCAAACAATTGTGTTGATGTACAATCAAATAGTTAAATACTGAATAAGTCAATACAATTAGGTAAGACATTGCATTATAAGTTTATTTGTTCCTATTATTATTATTGTTTATTTAAACATTTATAAATTATACTGTTCAATAATTGAATCAGACTCATTTATTTATATTAATTTTCTTCCCTCTATATTCATTAAAAATACAGTCTACTATAAAAAAAAAAGGGGGGGGAAATGTGTCGCGTAAGCGCGTTATTATTATCTGTCCGCGCCCTAACACTAACATTGTTACTATTTATGATTAGTTTGTTGAAGTTTGCCGTAATTGTAAAACACTATCTAAGAAATGTTACGATTCCTATTTGTTCAATGTTCAAAAATATCTATCATCTAACCCTCGAATGTTTTAGGAATTCGTTAAGGATAGACAAAATTCAAATGTACTTCCGATAAGAATGCATTTCAATGATATTTATTCTAATGATTATGAATCTATTTAGTGAATATTTTGGATCTGTTTATTCAGCTGTAAAATCGCATAGTAATAATGTGAGTTCGTCTGATTTTGATTTACTTGATATCCATAATTTTAATATTTCTATAACTAAAGTTTTTAATGGTCTATTCGATATTGGAAAAAAAGTTAATAGTGGTCCTGATATATTACCCACCATAAAATTTTATGAATGTCGTTTATTAGCTTTGCCAATTCATTTCCCTTTCCAATTATCATTGAACTCATGTACCTTCCTTAATTGATGAAAAAAGTTTTTTAACACCAATTCATAAATCAGGTGATAAATCCAATGTACAAAACTACAGGCCTATTTCAAAACATAACGATTTAGCCAAGTTATTTAAAAAAATAGTTGAAAATAAATTTTCTAGTCAAAAGACACATATTCTTTGTAATTCTTAACATGGATTTTGACAAGGTAGATCTACATTATCGAACTTATTAATTTATTATTCAGATCTAGTCTCAGTAGTTGAGAATGGTGGACAAGTTGACTCAATCTTTATTTAAAAAAAGCTTTTGATTCGGTTGATCATAATGTACTTATAAGTAAATTAAATATAATGGGAATAAGGGATCCTTTCTTATCTTGATTGCGATCTTATTTGAGTAATAGAACGCAACAAGTCCGAATGTATTCTAAAGTATCACATATAATTCATGTCACCAATCGGATGTACCGCAAGGAGGTCACTTATCACATATTTTTTTCTTATTGTTTGTAAATGATTTTACCAAAATAATTAGGTATACTAAATGTTTAATGTTTGCAGATGCCTTAAAAATATTCAATAATATATTATCCATGCAAGATTATTTTAATATGCAAAGTGATTTAAATAATTTTTTTTTATGGTGCTCTTTAAATCACCTCTCTATAAATATAAGTAAATGCATGAAAATTTTTTTTCAAGTTGAATTCAACTATACAGTTAATAACACCCCATTACACTCTGTTAATCTGGTTAAAGACTTAGGCATTTTTCATTTGATTTATCTTTTAGTTATCATATTCATTATGTTAAGCTTAAGGCATTGAAAACATTGGGTTTCATTAGGCGTAATTGTTTTGATTTTAATAATTTCAATTGTTTAAGAGTATTATATTTATCTTTAGTACGATTAACAGTTGATTATGGTTCTATCCTTTGGAATCCATTTCAGTCTTCTAGGATACAGAAAATATATTTTATATATATTTACACATATTTAATGAAATAATATTGAATTTATTTGGACAGTAAAAAATTTAATTTTTTCTAACTAATATTAGATGTATTCGCGTTTGTTGACAATAATGAATCTAGGTAAGATAGGTTTTTATGCCATCCGTGATCGGTGTGCACTGTCGATTGTAATAATATTAGTAAATTTGTTTCTAAATATACACACGTCGGTCTGGAATTATACGTCAAAATGTCGTAGTAAACACGATGGTTAACGACAATAATTCATTGTCAGAATTGTAAGATTATTTTTCGGTAATATCATTTATAATACAGATTACAGACTATCCGTCAGTAGGTATATTATCGTTATTTGTTCGTTGCTTTTATTGCACATTAGTTAATAATAGTTGTGTATACACTAGTTACAGACTATAGTTGTTTTTTATAAGTATTATCCAGTGAATAGTATTATAATTTAAACAAAATTAAAAAATGAAAAAGGTCGTTATAAATTAAAGCGATTTTATATGAGTGGTGCAGAAAAACGTAAATTGGCAAAAGAAAAAGATAAAAAAAATACGGGAATATTTAAAAAAACTAAGCGAATGACAGTTTATCATAACTAAGCCAAACACAACTTCTTCTGAGGTTAGTACAGTTTTACAATTACTATACGAAGAATAAATATTACTTAAAATAATATATTTTTTATACTATTATACATAATAGTATATAATAATATGTATACAAGTTAGGTAATTTAAATAATAAACATTACAATTAGGTACAGATTTTAAATATTTTTTTTATTTCAGTCATATCAAACTGCTCTACTACCTCCATCAGTAACTATCGCCGAAACCTCTTCACCTCAAAATATTGTTGAAGAAACAAATGAAGGCTTAAATTTAGATATAGGATTATGGCCTGAAAATATGACAGGATTAATAGATTATTGGGCAAAAGTAGGAAGTTCAAATTTACAAAATTGTTATGAAGAATTATTTATACAAAAATCAAAAAAACAGTTTGATGGAAATTTCCTCGTAATTGTAATAAATCATTGTTTGAGCGAAAAACTGCCAACGGAGAAATAATTAAGCGTTCATGGTTATGTTTTTCGCCATTCAATGGTAGTATTTTTTGTTTTGTTTGTAAATTAATATCGAAAACACGCAGTCAATTTATTCATGGTGGTTCCTGTGATTGGAAACATGCAGATAATCGATTAATAAGTCATGAAACTTTCAAAGATCATTTAAATTCTGTGATAAATTTAGCTATTCGTTCAAAAGAATTAGGCCGTATTGACAATGAACTTATCAAACAAAATGAAGAGGTAAAGAGTTACTGGCGTAATATAATCAAGAGACTCGTAAGTGTTATAATATTTATATGTGAACGAGATTTAGCATTACGTGGTAAAAATAAAATTGTCTGTTCGCCTAAAAATGGCAATTATCTTGGAATTCTAGAGCTGTTAGCTGAGTATGATAATTTTCTTAAACAGCATATTGAAAATCATGCAAATAGAGGAAGTGGGCACACTAACTATTTATCTTCTACTATTTGCGAAGAATTAATAGAAATAATGGTAAATAATGTTTTGAATGAAATAATTTCTCGTATAAAACTATCTAAATATTTTTCTATTTCATTAGATTCGACACCTGATGAAGGTCATATAGATCAATTAACGTTAGTTTTTAGATACCTTGAAAGAGATACACCAGTGGAAAGATTTTTAGTATTTATGCTAAACCAAGGCCATAAAGCTCAAGATATGTATGATGGTTTAATAAACTTTTTAAATAAATATGACTTAAACATAAAAAATTGTAGCGGCCAATCCTACGACAATGCTTCTGCAATGAGTAAAAAGTATAATGGTCTCCAGTCAAAAGTTCTGGAAAATAATAAACTAGCTTCCTGGATTCCATGTGCTACTCATTCATTAAATTTGGTAGGAAAAGCAGCAACCGAGTGTTGTACTGCTGCTGTTGAATTTTTTTATTTTTTAGAGCAGTTATATGTATTTTTTACAGCATCAACAAAACGTTATGAACTACTGATTAAAGCTCTAAGTTTAGAAAATACCAAATCTCGTATCCATGTACTACAACGAGTTAATACTACACGTTGGTCATGTAGATCTGATACAACAAAGCTCTTATGCAAGGCTATAAACAATTTAAAAGTACTCTAATTCAAATAGCTGATGACTTTGAACAAACAACAAAAACGCGGTGCGATGCAAATTGTTTATACANAGATACCTTGAAAGAGATACACCAGTGGAAAGATTTTTAGTATTTATGCCAAACCAAGGCCATAAAGCTCAAGATATGTATGATGGTTTAATAAACTTTTTAAATAAATATGACTTAAACATAAAAAATTGTAGAGGCCAATCCTACGACAATTCTTCTGCAATGAGTAGAAAGTATAATGGTCTCCTGTCAAAAGTTCTGGAAAATAATAAACTAGCTTTAAATATCCTTGAAAGAGTAGATAGCACTAATAAATTACTACAAGATCCGACTTTAGACCTTAACACTGCAGTTTCTGCTATTAAGTCTTTAAAGAATTTTGTTCAAGCTAAACGTGATACTTTTGATCAATATGAAAAACAAGGAGCAGACATTTCGGAAACAACAGATTATTTGAAACATCGTAAACGGCAAAGAAATATCCGTCTAAATCCAATAGATTCTCATGAAACAACCGAAGTAGATTTAACTTCTTCTCAAAAATTCAAAATTTTTTACCTGTTATTGATACTTTTATTTCTAACTTGGATAAACGAGTGTCTGCTTATGAATTGGTATACCAACGATTTGGCTTTCTTCGAAAAATAGAACAACTAAGTAATCAAGAAATTGAAGATGAAGCAAATAAACTTGTTAAAATTTACCAAGATGACATCGATGAACACTTTGGAAACGAACTTATTCAATTTAAAGAATTTTATAAACATTTTAAAGATGAAAACAGTGAATTTCACAATATTAGTCAAGAACATTTAATGTATAAAATATTAATTAATAAAGAAGTAAAAGATTGTCTTCCTAATGTTGAAATAGTTCTTCGTATTTATCTTGTTTTAATGCTTACAAACAGCAGTAGTGAAAGATCATTCTCTAATTTGCAGCATATAAAAAATAGATTGCGTACTTCAATGGACAGAGACAGGCTCAATCAACTAGCCATAATGAATTCGGAGTCTGATATTTTAAGAAAACTTGATTTTCAAAACGTTACTGATAATTTTGTACAAAAGAAATCAAGAAAAGTTCCAGACATTTAATTTTAATTATTTGACATTATTATTTTTATAATATTTTTTTTTAATTTCTTACACTTAATATTAAAATGAAATAACTTATACTGATTTGATTGTTTTTATAGTTATTTATTATTAAATAAATAGTTAATACTTAATTGGTACTACTACTAAATATGATAATAATTGTTATTTAATAGGTAAAAAAATATATTTCTTTGTTTATGTATAAGGGGCTCCCATAATACATGCCGCCCAGGGGCCACCACATACCTAAGTCCTCCCCTGGTCAGACGTAAACTTAATGAAGCTTGTTTTGTTTTTAATCTAATTAATAATAAAATTGATTGTCCTAAGCTTCTAGCTAAATTAGGGTTCCATGTTACTACTTTTAATTCTGGAATAATATTCTTTTTCATATTAATAGTAATCGTCAAAACTATGGTTTCTTTGAACCTCTTAATCGTTTAGCTATAACATGTAATAATTTACCAAATTTTGATTTTTTTAATGACTCATTATCAAAATTGAAGTTTACTATGTATTATTATTCGCTTAAATAATGTAATTATTTATTGTTATTACCTATCTTGTTAATATTTATATCATGTATTATTTATTATTTTTATTTAATGTTTGATGTATTTACTATAAACTACACTTTTGCCTACAGGGCGTCAAATAAATTATTATTATATGTAAAACTCTATTTCTTAATTACAAGTTTTGTCACACTCATGAAAAAATATATAAAAGTTTAATAAATTAAAAAAAAATTGAACAATATAAAAATAATGTAATTCAAGAGAAAGGTTTACATAATATCAGTTAAATAAAAAAAAACTTTCATTAATTTCAAGTCAATGCAATATATTTTATAATAATACTACTATAGTCGTTGATGTTATATATAAAAAGGTTTCCACTGTAGTATTCAGGCTTATAATTTATTTTTTAATACCAGAACGTATTTATTTTTAAAATCTACAAAAAAATCTTAAAATAAAATAAACCACATAAAAATTGTAAGATATTATTTTTACGTGATATAGTTTAAAGTAAAATGGACATTTCAACACTCATTGTCAACTGTAGTGATTATGAAATAATCTAGAATCTTCGTGGTGGATAGGGAACACAATGAATTGTCAATGTGAGACAATGAATTGTCGGACCAAAAGAAGTATTTAAAAAAGATAGAAAGTGATCAAAGTCAATTTAATATTTTTTAAAAAATATAGTTTAAAAAACACGCTTTTATAGCACATCGAACCAAAAAGTTAAAAATAATTTTTAAAATAAGTTTAAACAATAATGAAAGAAAAATACTGGCACTATATCCAAAGACTTCGAAGTCAAAGTAATCAAGAGTATACTGTACATTTCTGCTGCCTGTTGCACGTTTACAGATCCTCACAAACTCCTAAATTATCACATTCGATTATGCAAGCTTTTCCGTTGCTGTAGGTATCCATCATTTTCAATAAGATATGCTGATAGACTTCTCTCCATTTGAAATCTTATTTCTCTATAGATTTGGTCACTTGTTATAATATTCAGATTGAGGGTGATTGTCGACCAGTGTTGTAATATAAGAATACTAGCTCTTAGGATGTTGGACAATGCCATCGCACAGCATTATACGCCTGCATATCCTGATGTGAATAGGGCATCGTATCTTTGATGCCATGAAGCACGTACAATTCTCGCAAAATCGCTGATGCTCATGTAAGCACTAGTTCCCTCGATAAGTTCTTCACTAGTCTCTTTAGCAACTTCTTCTAGTCTTATGATATCATCATCACTTATTACGCCGTTTTGATCGATTGTGACGTCTTTATAAAGAGAATTGATAGCAACAAACCAATGAAGTGCGTCATATACTTTTTGCCTAGATACTGAAAACTGTCGTGTAACGTAAATATTATCAAGACTGAGCGATAACTATTCCAGTACTATTTGTGGATCATAATAACATTATCGAAAGATTTACTTCGAAAACATCCTGATCGAACAATATTGCTTGACCTCGAAAACTATATTGCCCAAATATACTTCTAAGTTTTATAATTTTAACAAATGGTTTTTATTATTCCAATAAGACTTAGATGATACAACATTTATCTTTGAAGACAAATGGGTCTTGCAACGAATGCAAACAACCAAGCAATTCATTTGTTTTATTTCGTCAGGCAAATATGATGCTGTGTTAGTATCTACAATCCATTTAGAAATTTGATGTTGTAGCACCGTTTAGTGCGAATTTCACATATCTTATCACGAAATGTGATAATTGTCTGCCTAAAGCGCGTCGTAATGGCTCTACTTAATCTTCTGGACTCAACTTTTTGTTGCTGCATTTGCTGCAAACGAGCTTCTCTGGCTTCCTTTGACTGCTTGGCTCGATAATTTTTCTAATAGAACCTTCTTTTCTCTAATTCCTCGCTCGAGAATCCCGCAGTTTTTTTAACTGACTTGTCTACTTTTCTTTGATATTCTTCTTGTCTTATCAGACAACTTACTTCTTGTAACAGTATACTCTCCAGTAGCCAAGTTGCCCACTACTGAAGAGCTGCAATCGTTTGAAGATGACGTCTGCGACGTCAGGATGCTTTTTCACCCTGACCAGACGCCGAATTTGGGACTCCGAATCGTAAAGTACTCATCAATTGTACCTGTCATGACGGCATACATGTCGTTAATTTAGGAACTTTGCCAGATACTTCTGTTGACCACCATCATCATGTGAAGGTGCCCTGGTTACAAACACAAGCTACCAAGTCTTAATGAGCAAAATAACTCATAATATTTGTGTGTATCAGGAACTAGCAAATATCTCTCTGGGTGTTAAAATCGATGAGTATCTGCTAAGACTACGCGAATTCATACTCATCAATTGATGAATGAAAGTTGTAATTTTCGTTAAGCAAGGGAGTACGTAACAACAAATACGTTGCAACCATGCCAGAGTTGTGTTGTTTCCTCCAGTTTGCAATAACCGTAAAACTAGACCACCGTTTCCTAATCCTTGACTGGAGCTGAGTCATGATGCCTTACTATTTTCTTCTGCATAGAAGCGTTTATATACGTGATGTAGTTTCATGTACAGTTTTTTTAAGTATATTTTTTTACATATATAGCTACGGCAAGTATGTTTATGGTTAAAATATTATGATGAGACTAAGGTTTATTTTATATTAAATGAATAATTTCTAGGCGGCTAAATATTATCACCGTATATTTTATACACTATATATATATATAAAAATACAATGTCACGATAGCTTGTTCCGTGAGGACGTTGAAAGATAATATCTTCATTAATTACTAGTGACCGGTTTACGCCGCCCGTCGACCACTCCATATGGCGCGACCTGCCGGACGTAAAGGGGAAGCGCCGCGATCGCCATTCAGTGGTAAAGCTGGAGTCGCGTTGCGACCGCGACAATTATAGTATGTAATATGACTATAATTGTTATAAACTCGATCACGTTTTCATCAAGTTTCCAGTACTATTCCATCGAACTTTTTTCCTGCTTTATCGACTTTATGATAGTAGTTACTATCAATATCATGGTTGTAACGAGTAACAGGGAATCAGGTTTCGATTCCGGAGAGGGAGTCTGAGAAACGGCTACCACATCCAAGGAAGGCAGCAGGTGCACAAATTAACCACTCCCAGCACGTAGATGTAGTGACGTAAAATGACGATATTGGACTCATATGAGGTCTCGTAATCGGAATGAATACGCTTTATATCTCTTAATGTGAATAAATGTGCCGACAAATGACGTCATTTATTGTTCTTGGGAAAACAATAGGTAAAGTCAAACCTAACCTACCGTAGCCCGCTAGCCTCGGCGATTGTTGGAAAAAGTATCCTAGTGTATTCAGGTGCATCTAAGTCCAGCTCATGACGTTATCCCCTAACTGACGTCACACTTGAACTTTGATATAAGGTAAGCCTTATGATGTCACGCCTAAACCACAAAAGTTCTTTTTCCAATGTAGATAGGTACACGCTAACGGTTCAACGTCCGTATAGTACGCGTCGAGTCCGCGCATTTGATATATCACAACCCCATATACCGTCATGTGTTTGATAAAAACCATCGAACACGTGCATAACGCGTAGGCGCAATATTTCACAGCATAACTACAAGATCGTTTGTTGATTAAAACATTGACCCTGTGTGTGTGTGACACTATAGATATAAGTAAGGGCTTAAAGCAGAACCTTGGTGCACTCCTACTCTTACCCAAAATCCTTCTGTTACTACTCCTACACTTTTTACCCTGATACCCATCATACATATCTTCTATTATATTAATGTACCTTTTCGGGACTCCATTTCTTATTAATGCCCACTTTAGAACCTCTTTCGGTACTCTATCATACACTTTCTCCAAATTTATAAATACATGGCTAGTGAAACAGCTACCACACAAGTTGTCCGGCTGGTATCAAACACTTCATTCCTTAGGCCTACATTATTTTTAACCACTTTATTTTCTCTCACTTTTTGTCCTTGCGTACATCCGAAATGGGACAATCCGCCTAAGTTTTGTTCAGGAGTCTTCATACTTTTTGACAACAATTTTACTCTGGCTGTTGACCTGACGCAACCTCATTAGTCGCCTCTTACGACTGGCAGAAGGGCCGTGTAAGTATTCTTGTCCCCTATCCACAATTAGAACTTAAGTTTATTGTATAACTTAATTAATAAATATGTCTTCTTTTACCTCACCTTTATCCCAACTACTTGTGGTCGGCCAATTTTACACCGGCTGTAGACCTGACGCAACTTCATTTGTCGCCTCTTACGACTAGTAGAGGGGTCATGGAAGTAAGTCTATCCCCTTTCCACAAGAAAATAATTAATTAATATTTAATTTAAAAAAAGGCTAAACAACAAATAATGTATAGTACAATAACTAGATAGTTAAAATTAGAAAGATGTGGGGGAAATCACCCATGTTTGCTTGTTTAAAATTTTAATTTCGTAGCAGAGAAAAATCTTAAATTATACCCTAATGAAGTTAATAAAATTAAATAATATTAATCGTATTATAAATGTTTAATTATATTTTAATTTCAACAAATACAGTGTTTTTTCTTCTCTCATATACACAGCAAACTCCGCGTGTTTGTGCTATTGATCGGCTATAGCTCGCCATATTTTTATTGTTTTGTTTATTCAGTTGCGTCTTTGCCGAACTTGTAAACTCCGGACGTACGAGGTCATTTGTTTACATGCTTTGTACATTTATATCCGTGTGAAACGACCTTTTCTCGCATTTTACGGGCTAGTGGCATCGTTCACGTCGTCATCATTTCAACGCTCACATACAGTCCACACTCAACGCCACTAATCATCATCTTAAATTATACAGCTAAGTTTTTAATTGTTTGTTTTATTTATTTTATATATTTTCTATTTTATTCATAACCGCTTTGTCGGTCATTCTAGTATGTAAGTTATCCCTCCTTTCCCTTTACTTTTTAAGAATTTTATTTGCAGAACTGTAAATATATATTCATATTTTGTATATACATAAACAGGTGTACCTATTTTCTTACCCCCTCATATTTTCCGTATTTTGTTTTCTACGAATGAACACCACCGGACAGTAACAGGCAATCCCCCTTCAATATTAAGGGACTGCTTGACACAATAAATAATAATACTACCTTTTATCTTATAATAAAAATATAATATATTAAATATTAATACAAACTGTCTTTTTTCTTTATTTTACATACAACATTCAAAAAAGTTACGAATCAGAATTTTTTCTTTTTGTTGTTTCTCAAAGAAACTGTACAATTTCATGTAAAGTGAAGATTCAATAACCATATTCTATAAGTTTCATTAATATATATTATTTATTTTAGATATATTTCAATTTTTTAAGTTGAAAACCACGTTAGTATGAATGTTTTTAATAACATTCAGTGTTGTTGTTATGTTTAAAATGATTGTTAAAAATTAGAGAGAACAAAAATGACAATAACTTATTTATAATAAGTTATTAATGGGACAGTTAAATAATTTACATATTTTACCTATTTTCATTATATGATTTGTATAGAAGCTATTAAATTATATTATTAATTAAAAAGTTTTTAGAACTTGCATTTAAAACAGTTATGTTTCTGTTTTCATCGATTACTACTGGATATGATGAATATATGCCATCTGCTACATCACCCGGTTTTTGTACTATAGTTATCATACTAACAATTTTGTTACCAGAGCCCCATAACCAATCATGTAAATGATGACATACTGCTGATATGAGAGCGTGTCGTCCAGTTTTAGGTTGAAGGACTTCCTATAAAATTTAATATTTAATTTAGTTGTTAATTCTGTAACTCGTGTATAAACTATTGTACTTCAATTAGACAATTATCAAACCAATCTACAGGTAATAAATCATAAACATCTTGATTTGAACTAAACTTAGAGACCTTTTCTGCATGCACAAGATCCAAATAATGTGGGCCCCAAATGTACACACCAGTTATATCTTGAGTGTTACACTATTTTTTTTTTTACAAAAAAATATGTGTATAATGATTATAACATCTTAGAATTTGATTTTAAACAATTTGATAAATAGAATATCTTAACAATTTATAAAAGATAACTATTAATGCTAGTAAGTACAGTGGATTAAAAAGAACTCGCTTCCACTTTCATCACATCGTAAATAATGATTATTTGATATGAATTAAGATGACTAAATAAAAACTAAAATATTTAGTAAAGTAAATATTTCTTATGTATTACATTATCTATTTCATAACACAAATTTAAAAAAATCACATTTATTTTTAAATAAAATTGTAGATGTGAAGGGTAAAATTGAACTAATTTGTAAACCTAATTTATTTAAAAATAATAATTAATTTAAATAAAAAAAACAGAATTATTCTAAGTAAGGATTTATCTAGCAAAAGAACTAAATTAATAATACGATGTTTTTTTAATCTCTTACATAATATTTATTTATAGAAATACTTTAAACATTGAAAGAGAAAATTGGTTGATGCAACATAAAAATAAAAACAATTTAAAATAATATACAAAATAAGAAATAATTTTAGTACGATTAAAATTATTTGACTTGTTAGTTNACCATAACAAAAACTACGCCATAATACAGTTTTATTTTTAGTTTTAGTTATTATCGAGGTGGACATAATGCTCATGCTCTCAAACCTGTTGGTCCATTGTGCGCACCNCATGCACTCAGACCTGTTGGTCCATTGTGCGCACCTCATACCGAATTGTCTTGATTCGGTTTACCCACCTAAGTGTTATCACCAAAGTGCTAATGTATTACCAACCATAAGTCACCTCAAAAGATGACCAAAGAATCCTGTCTTTCTGGCGAAATTAAGTATCTCTCTGGGTTTTAGGTTTTTAATATCTTCTTTTTCAGGAAAAGGTTTATTCAAGTAGTTTGATCTTAGTGTGGACAAGGCTTCACATTCGCACATGATGTCAAATAAGTCTTCCTCTTCTACTCCACACTTCCTGCACAATGGTGATTCCGATACCTCTATTGTGTTAAGATGCTTAGGCAGGTGACCATGTCCTGTCAGTAGACCAGTCAGGGTGCTTATTTGATGTCTAGTCATGCTATTAAGATCACCCAGCAATAGACCAGGAGTCTTGATAAACATTTTAGATTGTCTAGGTACTACCAAGTACTTCTAGATTTTCCTGTATTGTTCTCTGCACCAATTCTTGGGTAGCGCTTTGAGCGATTGCTCAGTGAGTCCTACCACTGTTTCTGGTCCAACATAAGTGTTCTCTGCTACTTTCCTGGCTAGAAAGTCAACATTCTCATTTCCAGTGACACCGTTGTGTCCCGGTAACCACGCTAGTGTAACTTTGTTGTACCTCGATAGTGATTCTAAAGTTTCCCTGCATTCGAGGACCAGCTTTGAATTCATCTGATCGTTACAGAGTGCTTTAAAAGCTGCTTGACTATCACTTAATATAGTTATCTTCCTATTTTTGTATACCAGCAGGTTCTGAGCCCCTACCAGTATCGCCATCACCTCTGCTTGGAAAACAGAGGGTTTTGTGCCCAATATTTGACTTGTTAAGTTTAAAATTTATAATCAAAAGCTTATCAATGAAACTTTTACCTCCACATCTACAATTTTATTTAAAAATAAATGTGATTTTTTAAAATTTGTGTTATTAAATAGATAATGTAATACATAAGAAATTATTCATGTTATAACTAAATAGAAATTTTAATTCTTAGAGAATTATTATTTTTATTTATTTGAATAATTCATACAATTAATTTTGTTTCCCGTTAACAGAACTTGTGTTTGATGAAGTTAAATTTTAATATCTTTATAGGACAACCCCTAACATGTTTTTTGTCTGATTATCTTAGATCACTTTGTATAAATTTATATTAATTTTTCTAAATTTGGTAAATTATTTATTTGAATATGTTGCGTCGCTATTTAGGGGTTGAGCCCAATTGTCCGTCAACAGTATTCTAAGGGACCAACGGGGGATAGCTGGCTAGGCTATATCTACCTTAGTTACTGAGGTTTCCTATTTAATTTATATTCCTTTAGAGGAACTACCAAGGGTCGCACTACAATATATATCTGTGGCTTGGTGCAAGAAGGGCCAATGTCACAAATGTCCATTTTTAGGAAACTCAATTATTAATATTGGCCATTTTTAAAAATATCTCTTAAATTTTAAATTAAAATTTTTACATGATATAATTGTTATGGTTCAATTTGTTTTTCTTTTTTCCATAATAACTTTGATAAACTAACAATAAAGTAACTAAAATAAAGAATAAAAATTGACATTAGCCCGTGTATAACAAAAAATATTTTATAATTATTCGACATTGGCCATAATATATTATACAACTGCATAGGTAAAAACATTTTTTTTAGACAACTGTATTATTCAAAATAAGTAGTAGAAATTATAACATGATACAATATTTTGGTAAATCCTATTATTACTTGGTAAAATTATTAAAACAAATTAAATTAAAATATTTAGTCTATTGGTTAAATTAAAGATTAAATGGTAAATTAATTTACAGGATATAGTTTCTTAATACTAATAGAATTATAGTAAAAAAAAAACATTATTTTAAAATACTTATTTAAGTGTTGAAAATAACAAAATAAAGGATTAGAAACAACTCTTTTAACAATAAATTTCATATTTGATAAAATTATTTAAAGAAAATCAATAACAGTTTTTAGTCTTTAAATTCTATTAAAGATAAAATTGTAGATTAATTTATAGTATTTTGTTTCTTAATACTCTATAAAATAAAGTCAAAATAAACATCTTAATTAAAATGTACTAATAATAGTTTTAAAAATAATTGTAAATAACAGAATAATAAAGAGATTAAAAATAAAAAAACGACTATTTTAGCAATATCTACTTAAGTAAGTTATATCAGTCATCATCTGAGCTCTCTGGATTACCCTAAACCAAATTATTCATAAAGCTTTCACAGAATTGCCTACTGTTAGGATGGATGTATTGCTTTAGTGATGTCAGGTCATTTATCTTTTCTGTTGGTAGTGGTAGTGGTGTAGTTGAAATAGGTTCAAGAACAATATTTGTTTCAACAGATATTTTAGTACTTTTCCTTTCTAAGTGTAGTTCCAAGAATTCTTCTTGGCCAAATGAGTACTTGTAGAACATTACTCCAGGTGTACTACTTCTGTATTGAATATATAATATATTATTATATACATATTTGAAAAATAAAATTGGCCAATCTATATATGTACCAAAATCATTTAGTTCTAAATACACTTTAGCCATTTGTTTTCGATATGATATTTTAACTGATATGGCCAATGTATTGATAAGCCTTATTTTCAAAATAACAACACTAACTTCTCGTTAAAATCAAAATGGCCAATCTTTACGCTAAGTTGGTCACACTTATTCGAATACATTAGCTGTTTTATCAACAGAAAAACAAAAATTAAAAAATAAGATTGGCCTGATGATCTCAATTTCGACTTAATGTGACATTAGCCCTTCTTGCACTAAGCCACAGATATACATATTATATATATATATATATAACACTCTTGGTTAACAACGATATAAATATTTATTAAGTAAAGACATATTAAATAAATAGTACAACCTGCTGGACATTTAGAGATAATATAATCCAACAGGGTGCTGAGGGCGACACACATACACACACTGTTTACGTGGTAGGTAATTTAAGTTAAATATAAGACAAGAGTAATGGTCGCGATGGTCGAAAAAGTTAACTGGCATTAGGGATATATTATTATGGTACATTGACCGTGAATTGCAAAAGTGTTTATGTGTGCAGTCTGTCCTGTAGTACGTGTGTCAATGTGTCAACGATATAAGCATAGTCGGCGTTACAATATAATGTTAGAAATGATTACACTTAAGTGATTGTATCAAATAATAACTGATAATACCGAATATAAAATATCTAATATATTTTGGTAGTTATATTTTATTTTACATTAATTATTATAACTATACAGGATATTGAAAGTTTTATCTTAAGCTAACGTTTTAAAATAATTATGGTCCGTACTAATAATGAACTGTATTTTGTCAAATTTAAATTTCAAACACGTTAGAGTTCTATGTAGTTCATAAGTAATCAAAATAATTACATTTAGCTCTTTTTGTTTATATAAATATTACTAATGGGAATTTGTTTTCAAGGAAAGCGAATCTTAACGACTCAAAAATGATTACTTAGATTGACGTAACTAGGTTTAAATACATTTATGATTTTAATACATTGAGTTTTTGTGTAATAAGCGTAACAGCTTTGGTTACATAATGTCTAGAGAGTCCGGACAAATTTTCCTTAGATAGATTTGAAGTTACTTCTGCAAATATCTGTAACCAAGTACAGCAATGAGGACCCATCATTAATACACGAGCATTTACGTTTGCTAATTGGTCAAAAATTTGTGCCTGTGATCAAAAAACAATTAATATTTAAATTTTAAAATTAAATAGTTACTTTAATAGTAGGTACTATTACCAGAATATTAGCTAACAAGTTTTAATATGTACATTAAAAATGTATTTTTGTAAATACAGTTTAAAAGAGAAATAAGTAAATAGTTCATTATTTTTAATATTAAATGCGACGTAGATAACCAAATTAAAAATAATTATTATTGATTATAATCAAAAATAATTATCATTAAAAAAATGAATATTTTTAGGAGTTTTAGGATAGTAAATATAATTTTCACTATAAAAATTAAACAAATTAACTTTATTAGAGTAATATTTATTCTTTAAAAAATTGGGTGTTTCCAAACTAATTAAGCATTTTACTATACATATGTGATATTACAATAAAATTTTATACATTTTTTTATTTTCTCTCACACCCTCCTAATTCATGATTATTAGCTTGAAAGGTTACAAATATATTTCTAATTGTAAGACCATAATGGAAATATACCTTTCATGATATCTAAGAAAATAAACGAAGAGGATAGCCAACCTATTTAGCAAGATATTAAGTCGAACTGGAATAGGATTTAAAAAAAAATAAAACAACGAAGCTAATTTAATTACTTTATCAAATCAAAAAAAAAACTTTATAAAAGTATTACATTACATTACAAGTCGTTAAAAAAAAAATATTATTCTTATTGACCTAGTAAAAATGAATATTTAGTGAAAATAAAAATGTAGATTACAATTTTGTATCTAATGATCTTTGAGTCGTCGACTATGTGTAGATGGAATGACCTCAAACAAAAGGCTGTACCTTATAAACTAGAGGTTGATGATTTTTGAAGAATAAAAGAAATGAAATTCATGAGTGTTAAATACAGGACATATAAAAAAAAGTTGCTGATGATGTTTAACTATAGGGAATTTAATGATAAAGTTAATACAAGGCAAAAAAATATAAAAAACTCGTTTTTAAATTAAAGGGAATAATAAAAAAAAAAAAAAAAATATCAATTAAAAAAAAATATACACCTACAACTTTAAATGAGAGAAATGCAATGAATGCCTGCCGCCGTGCCATCACTAGCGTCAAACATGGTATACCACTATTCTAGTTGACTATACGCCCCAAGCTAACGAACTATTTGTTTGTAAATTACTTGCAAAATATTGGGACACAATAGGTTTAAGAACACATTGCATATTACATGGAAATGTAATATGAATAGTAGTGTGTTCTTAGAATATTCATCACTAATAAATAAATAAATAATTATTAAAACGGATAATACGGATTTGTAACGCGTCCATCGCCGATGAGTATATAAACTTTTATATAAATAAGTAAATAAATATGACATTTTTATTAAACTAATATGACACATTTGAGAGAGAACATAGAATAAAATATATCGGAAGATCAGTTTGGATTTAGGAAAGGGTGAGGAACAAGATAAGCATTATAGCATTGAGATAATTATATATAGAAACAATTATAGATCTAAAGAAGGCTTTCGATAAAGTGGATTGGAAAATTTTATTAAGATATTAAGAAAAAATGGAATTGATTAAAAAGATAGATGGCTCATCTTTAACTCATAAAAAGATCAAACAACAGAAATAAATGTAAATGGATAGGTAAAAGAAGCAAGAATAAAGAGAAATGAGACAAGGCTTTCCCTTGTCGCCTTATCTATTCAATTTTTTTATTGAAATGAGCATAGATATAATGAAAACCAAGACCAATGGAGTGAATTTTCGCTTTGCGGATGACATTGTTATCTTAGCAGTGTCTGAACATGACATGAATAATATACTAAAAATTCTATCAAGTGCACTTATAAAATTAAAATGAAAATAACTTCCATGAAAAAGAAAACGATGCTTATAAGTAAAATGCACTCAGATATAAATCTTAATATACAAATAAATAATACACGATTACAACAGGTCCAAGAATTTTGCTTCCTTGGAAGTATCATAGCTTCCAATAACAAATCAACACCAGATATCAGAAGAAGAATAGCATTGCCAAACAAGAATCAGCTTCTCACCAATAAACATCTGAACATTAGCACACATAAAAGATTCATTAAAACATTTGTCTGGAGTGTGCTTTCATATAACAGTGAAACATGGGCAAATGACAAGAAAGACAGAAGCATTAGAGTTATGGATATAGAGAAAAATAACAAAGACAAACTGGATAGACAAGAGAAGAAATGAGCAAGTGCTAGAAGAAGTACGTGAAGAAAGACAGCCAATGAAGATGTTAGAATCAAGAAATATAAATTTAATTGGACACATCATCCGGCATAATGACTTCATAATCAACATCTTCGAAGGAAAAATGACTGGGAAGAAATCAAGAGGATGCCCAAGGAAACAATATATATTTTGAAAATATAGAACTCATGAACTATGTGTCTTTTATTTCACTGAAGAATTTGGCGCCAAACAGAGAAGAGTGGCTTTTCAACGACAAAGCATTGCCTTTAATAGATGATGATGAATATAACACACCTATTGGAAAATACGACATATTTAACATTAAAATCCCCTTCTCCCACTTTATACTGAATTAGTATTTGTTAATACTGAAAACATTAAATAATAATGATTCAATTTATTGCCGATTCTATATATATTTATATATACAATAAGTAGAATTTCACATAAATGATATTAATGTTTTTTTCAATGGAATACAACGCATGGAATATCGAATATGCTTTTAACCACGATTCTAGATAAAGTAAATTTTTCTATTGCAATGAGGAATGTAAGGAACAGGAATTAATTAGTATTAAAGAACCTAACCAACACATAGGTGACAAGAGAAAAGCCGGTCGATCAGTTAATTCTAAAATTTTTTTTATGTAATTTTGTTTGAAGAGGAATGTGCAGGTAGTGAAAGGAGAGGGAGGACTAGGAACAAATAACCTAAAATAAAATAATGAGTTCAAAGTACCAGGCAGGTAAAGATAAAAATTTTATGCATTGTGACAGACTGACTAACACTAGTGCATTGACTACCTTACCTTTAACAGTTGTTGGATTAGTTACTTTAATAGATATTGTCTGTAATAGTGAACTGTATAATAGAGAGAAAGAGAGAGAGAGAGGTTTTGGTTGATATTCAGTAAAGAAATGGTTTAAAAATAATAAAGTCAATTTATTTCTAAGAGAAAAAAAACTAAATAATATAACAAATGCTGAATGATATTTGTACATAAATTATATACAATATTATACAATTAAAAATTTAATAAAATACCTATTATGGTTTGTGCAAAGAATGTACAAAAGTGAAATAAAGTTAACAAATGTTAGACGAGGGACATGAAGTACAATTGTTCAAGAAAAAATNATTAAAAATTTAATAAAATACCTATTATGGTTTGTGCAAAGAATGTACAAAAGTGAAATAAAGTTAACAAATGTTAGACGAGTGACATGAAGTACAATTGTTCAAGAAAAAATTCATTTTAAAAAATAAAATTAAAATTAAAAGATTATAAATTCAGTATGAGGCGATAACCACTAAGTGGACAATAACTTCAAGTTCCGCGAGAAGGAGGAAAGAACTTATTTTAACAACACAGTGACCAAGTGGTCAATTAAATTAAAGTGTAACAATGAATGAATAAGAAGAAAAAAAATTAACTGAACAATAAGACAGTCAACTAGGTTACAATATTGAGTAGCAGCATTAGTAGTAACAAATAGTAGCAAGTAGTAGTATTTAAGTAAATTGCAATGAAATGGACTTATAAACTAGATTTGCTGTGTAAAGCAACCTGAATGTTTGTACCTTCATGTGTGAAAACAATGAGCAAATTTTTAAGTTCAAAAGCCAAACACTATTATAAATAAAATATTAAGTTACTAAAAGAGATAAAAACAATATTAGATTGGATAAAGTTGTAAATTTTATCCAAACTAAACAAACGAACCAAGTGGTTTGTAAATTTACAATTTCCTGAGAATGGTCAAATAAGTAATTTTGGTATTACAAACATGTGTAGAATTATGTTATCCCAAGTTTAAATGCAAATGACAACTGAGCATTATAGGTAAATTTAAGCTAATGTGCAAACCACGAGGTGTATAAGTAACAAATAATAAATTAAAATTATTACCAAATTAATATTAGTACCAGCTTGGTGTGGTATTTAAAATGCACTGCCGGTTAATATAGGAAAACATGTGTGAGCAAAGAATAAAAAAAACAAACTTTCAATTTTACAATACAAAAGTTATAAAATTAAGGTTAATGGAGACAGTATTTGATAGACAACGAGAACGACAAAACAAAACAAAAGGTCGTAAGGCGACGGATATTGAGAGAATAAAATATAAACCGTAATGGCTAAGCGTCCGATGAGTGAAGTGTTATCACCAGTTGATACACTATCAGTATGACCAACTTCAGCGTTCACCTGAACTACCGCCCACCTTAAAGGTACGCACCTTTATAAATGATAGGCAAGTAGTCCAGTGGTCGAAGTACTGCAAGGATGTTGTACCGGTGTTCGATAGATATGAAATTGGACAAATAGGGTTGATTGAAGACAGTTGAACTTGAGAAGGAGACTATTGTCAATGACGGGAGACTATTGTTGTTGAAGTTAGATGAAATGATAGGGGAAGTTCGTGATAGGTTTATGGTCGATATGGAGCAGGTGGAAGGGTTTGTCTTTGCAGATACGGCAAGGTGCTTGTTTCTTGCAGCGCACAACTCTGTGCCCTGGTAGAAATCAATGTAGACAAAGAACATACTCTTTTGCAATGTGATATCTCTTTATTCCGGTTGCTAGCAGAAATGTTGGACAAGAACGAATGGGGTGGAAGACCGAGCATAATGGACACCTTTCGGTGGCAATCGTGTATTGAACCTTTTCTTGAGGTTGGTTCGATAATTCAACAGCAGTTCGAGTAGGCCGAGATGTATTTGGACGATTAGTAGTAATTGATGTAGTTGTAGTTGTTACAGTTGC